GAAATATTATGTGTTAAAATACAATATTTTGTTTTATAACTGACAAAACGGAGCATTAAATCAGACGGAAATAAAAATGTTAATCTGACCTGTTTCCTTCTCTCTATTGTCGCAGGGGGTGCTGGGGACCTGAAAGTGGAACAGGAAGTCAGAGTTGCATTTGGCGACGGTGATCACGCAGGGGATGGAGAAAGAGACGGATTAAGCAGGAACATCATCATTTGAGGACCACTGCAGCACCGAACATAAATTAAGTGAAAGCTAAATCTGTTTACTAATTGCAGCAGAATTGTTCCTCGGGTCTTCCATAGCATGCATATTATAAGAACGAGTCAACTGCTAGGCCTTAAAAAAAATGTACTTTAAAACTAATACAACTTTAGTAAAAAAAAAAATTCTTGTCGGCATACTCACAGAATATTTAATTAATTAATTTTTTTTTAACCACTGACCATAAAGCCCCATTTTTCTATGTTGTTGGATAAATGATGAAAGTGAAAAGATGTTTTATCATATTTCTATTTTTGACTGGATAGGCAAGAACATTAATAAATAGGTCAGTTTCTATTGTTTTGGAGTGAAATAAATTTAAGTTTCAGGCAAACATCAAAACTTGGGTGGGATATTAGTGAAAGCATTATTTCTGGTACTGTGAAAGGAGCTGACAGACGGATCAAGTCATGTGTGGGGAATAAAACAATAATAAATAAAGTAGGCTTTCCCATCCTGCCACCTCGGGAATAAAGTTGCTGTATTCTAAAAATAATCGCTGCTACAGCGAGGCACGGGCCGAGTGGAAGCCCATTTACTTCATCTAGATGGTTGAAGGGGATACCTGAAACGTATGGGTCATTTTAATTTTGTTACCAGTTTAACAAGAGGTCATAAACAGAGTGGACGTCACTAACGGGGGGCACGTTTGTAAAAAGGGTTCCACAAAGCGTACGAGGTATTGGGGTGGGAGGGGATGTGTGACAGATTCGTGGACGCCCTTTATGAAAAACCCCTTGGTGTAAAGGGAATACATTATTTTAAATTCAAATAAAAAGCTTTCAGTGATCAGCCTTCTCATTAATTAAATAGTTCATAAACTTGTACATCAAAAAAAAATTTTTTCCTAATGGTATTATTAACTACATTGAAATTCCTCAAATTATTTATTCATTTTTGGGTCATCGACAATCAAGATCAAGTTTTTTGGGTTTCTTTTTTTTAACAATGCTCAACGGAAGAAAAGAAATATGCAATTACATGTATAAAATAGTATTATAGTGTAACATATTTCTATTTTTTTAACAATCACTTTTATTTTAAAATTCTTTTTTAAAAACTGTATGACAAAATGTTGATGAGAGAGACCACTGAAGAATGCTGTGCTGTAATTATTGCTTTTGATGCGTGATCTTGCATATATGTTGGCAAAGTAACAATCCAATGAGAGCAATGGATTGAACACTTGTAACTAATCATAGTTTTCAAATGGGAGAAATAGTAATAATAATATGTTCAAAACACAATTTTTTTCCCTCCTCTTTCCTTTAATTGAGAACATATCTTAACACGGCGACAGGCATTCCACAATTGGGAGATATCATTGTCTATTTTCTAACTTGATCTATTCCCATTTGATCACTGATAGCTCACTTGATAGCTCACTTGATAGCTCACCTGATAGCTCACTGAAACGCAGTCCCTAAATTTTAAGAAATAAACATTTTATTATGTGTAAAAACTAAAATAATTATGCAATTTTTTTCCCCTTTCATTGTCTTTAAAAAAAAAAAAAAGGTTGAAGTGTCTGAGATGTTAGTGTTAGTATTTTGTCTATAACAGTTTTTCCCCTTTAAAAAAAGCTAAGGCTGTGTCATCAAACATTTTGGAAAAAAAAAATTTTATTATGTGTAAAAACTAAAAAAATTATGCAATTTTTTTCCCCTTTCATTGTCTTTAAAAAAAAAAAAAAAGGTTGAAGAGTCTGAGATGTTAGTGTTAGTATTTTGTCTATAACAGTTTTTCCCCTTTAAAAAAAGCTAAGGCTGTGTCATCAAACATTTTGGCAAGTCTTAAAGGCGAGGACAATTATTTTAAGGGATAAAAGAGAAGAACAAGTTATCTGGAAGCTTGAAAAAAGATGGACAGGGTATTAAAAGAAGAAGGTTTCGGCCGAGAGACTTCCACGGCAGACAGGACAGACGAAGACGTAACCTCAGTATTGTTCTGTCCTTTTATTTCGAGCTTCCACGTACGTTGTACTTCTATTTCCCTAACACAGCTTGAACGCAGTCCTTCATTTATTATCCTTTAAAAAAAAAAAAATAATAAAATCAGCTTTTTTTAAAAGATGAGTTAGCAAGAGATCTGGGGGAATTATTTTGCTGCGTCCTTGCTAAACTCACACTGTTCGAACAGAATTTATGCCTCTTCCCTTTTTGTTTCCTACCAATTTGAAATTTTAATACGATGTAATTTCAAAAGAGGTAAAGGGTGAACACCCTAAAATTGCATCGATTTAAAGCCCCTTTTGACTCAGGTGTGTCCCATATATTAGCCCTGTAACTGTCCACTAACCAAATCATAGAAATAGAGGCACAGACATGGGAAGTTAATGTTAATTTTTTTTTTTAAATGTCCTCTGCATTTATTCTTTTAATTTTATAATTATATTGAACTGATATGCAAGAAATGAAAACCTAGATGTGACCCGATCCAAAAAAAAAAAAAAAAAAAAAAGGAGTATTTTTTTTTTTTTTAAACAAACACAAAAAAAAAAAAAAATTTTTTTTTTAAATGTCCTTTTAATTTATTTTTTTAATTTTATAATTATATTTAAATGAAATACAAAAAAAGAAAAACTAAAAGTGACCCGAACCAAAAAAAAAAAAAAAAAAAAAAGAGCTCATTTCATTTTCTTTAATCGACCCCCGTCATAAACATAAATCAATGTCAAACTATTTGCACATATTCTTGAGTGAAGTTTCAACCCATATGTTTATTAGACAATTATCTGAGTTGTAATTGTATTCAATGAACCATGAAATAGTCAATACTGCACAAGACATGGCTAAAAGAATTCTTACCAGCAAAGTCTCAACTTGAAACAGATTAAAATTTATGAATGCCCAGCTAGTAAATAGACAACACCACTAAATCTCGGGTGCATTGTGTTGTGGATACAACTTTCACTTTCTGTGCCCCCACCCCAACCCATTTTAAAAAAATCCAACATGTACTAATTTGTTCCTTTTATCCTTCCCATTTACCCCCCCCCCCCCCCCCCTTTTAAAAAAATCCAACATGTACTAATTTTTTCCTTTTATCCTTCCCCTTTTCCCCCCCCCCCCTCCCTGTGTAGATCTTTAATGGATTAGCCCTAGGGTTGAGCAGATCATCATTACAATGATGTTGGCTGGACCCTAAGATTTTTATAGTTTATTGTGCTGCAATGATTCAGGGAACCTCGGTTTTTAGAAGGATATTTCACTTGATAAATTGTCACTTCATTAATGTGTTCCCATATTTTTTTTCCCCACAACTTTTGTATTTTGATGACTAATTTTGAATAAAATTATTCCCCAACCCCCCACCACCCTTCCCTTTCTCTTCAGTGTGGTAAAGTTCTTACCTGCTGGAAATTATTACTGTTGTTTTATTCTATTTAAAACAGGAACCTAACTAATATTGACTGAATTGTTAAGGAATGGCGTCCTAATATGGGGTGGAGTACTTTATATTACTCATTATCCTTGTGTTTCATGAATTTGATGAACATTGTTAAAATGTTTTTTTAAAAATAATAATATTATACAATGTTAAAATATGTCCATGTTAATTAGACTGAGGCGGTGTGTAATTATTTTTTTTTAGTAAGAAAATCATTTTGTAAAATAACTATATACTTTGAATGGATTAATTTATTTTCAATAAGTATGACAATAAAAAAAAAACTTATCTTAAAAAGAATTTTGTCATGTCATTGTAGTAGGCCATAATTTATGTGGGTGTGATGTGATCTAACTTAATGAGTCAGTCATTAATCTCATGATCAACAGATCAGTGGGTCTCAGCCACTAAGCCTCTTCACATTTTTTTTAATAGTTTTTACCCTACAATCTTTTAATGAATGCAGATTATTCTTGTTAGTTAATTGGAGTTCATTTCCATAGATTCTTTTTAAAAAATATAGATGTGGCAATGTTCATAATGAAAATCCTGCTTTCTACGTATGCTTGTAAATCTTCAAATAATAAATTAATTAAGTTGGGGGACAAGTACCAGGGTGCCACCATCCAGGTCTGAATGGCTGTCTTGTGGCAACTACCAGGAAAATGGATCTGCTCCCACTAGTAACTATCAGCTCTACCATCATGACAGAAGTTTTTCTGAACCATCCAACACCGGATTTCAACCACCCTGTGGTTCCAACACTGAACCAACCTACTACTATTTTGTAAGCTTACATTTGGGACCAGTGTCGCCAGTGAAATGCACAGGTATGGTTTAAAATTTCACTGTTGGCTAAAAGAACTTTTAACATTTAAAACTCCTTGGATACCAAGATGAGACCATTTTCTGGTCACTGGGGTGGTGTGTTTATCCCAATGACATGTTGCAAGTGTCAGCAGCTTTTGGTCTCGGGGGGGGGGGAGGTGTGGTGGGGAAATGACTTTTTCCACATCATTTCTAACGGGCTTAGGCGTCATCTCGCCAGAGTAAAAATGTAAAATTCCACAAGTTTTTTCCAAAAGAAAATGACAAGTTTAATGTCTTATCACTTTATGCTACCACTATCCAATTTGTGGCTATATTTAAATTACAGGGTGCTCCTAAAGTTTAGACACATAGGCTTGAACTTGAATTCACTAAAATATATGATTACCATGAATCTTGCCAAGAGATTGACCGTTTTATCACATTTTCATGAAACGTGAATTCTTTTTAAAAAAATTGAAATATTCACTATACCTTAAAAATATGACTATGTGTCCTTACCTTAGGAATACCCCGAGTGTTGGCTAACACTTATATTAACAACATAACACGCTGCCATTAAAACATGGCATAATTTATAAATGTTTCAAAAAAAAAATAAAAAATTCAAAGTCGGCAACAAACAAAAATGGACACTACAATCAATTGTACACAGAGACAGCTGGACAATTTGGATGATGCTAATTTTATTGACCCCGTGCATCTAATTTGGCTATTGTGACGCAGTGATGAATGGATAATCTATTCTCGAGAGAAAACTATTATCACTGATAAAGAGAAAATGTTAAAAAAAAGTTTTTTTAATGAAAAAAAGTTATGTAGAGCATAACAAGTTGATGTGACAATGTCACTTCCTTTCCTTCCGATGATAAAACTCCCGTCTCAACCGATGACATCATCAGCACCACTTTATACTCTCGAATCTCGTTATGGCAGCGTCACAGTTGAAGAAAGACGCCGGCCGGATGTTAAAACGCTTGCTTAGGGGGGAGAGTTCGTTGTTCATTGAATTATCTCTTAATCGTTCCCGACAGTTGGCATGCTGGGCCACACAAGAATGGTTGTCCTGGGCGGGTTGGTGGATCCCCGGCATTCGTTGTTGAATGTTTGCGATGGCCGTCGTGGAGCGTATAAGTTCTTAACCGTTCTTTCACACATGACCACGAATTTGATTAAGTTCCCGCGGCACACGAAGTCGCATGGTGCAGCCCAGTGCGTGAGAACGAGTTACTTTAACAATGTCTTATTGCTTATGAGTACTTACAGTTAGTGGTTCAGATTTTTTTTCTTCTTTCTTTGGTGGGGTGTTGGTTTTTTTTCTCTTCTTTTTGTTAACGATCTTGTGTTCAATGCAGCGATGGAAAAGTTTTGGACTGTCGCCCGGAAGTTTGTAAGAAGTGCTTTTGAGGCAAATCTATGGCTTGCTGTAAAGGGCGGGCGGACACATTTGAGCCTGTTTTAACACACTCTGCAGCGCTCGACGGCCTGAGCGCGTCTTTCCTCCTTTGGTTTCACGATAATCGGTTGAGGCATTCGGCGAATGTTGGATCCGGCCGAGGTTGAACGGACGGCGACCGTGAGCGGGCCTTTGAAGTCGTGGGGTTCAGGGAAGTCGCCAGAGTAGTCGTCGGAAAAGGCGACGCTTGAGCTGCGGCGTCTGCTTCTGCTGCTTCGGGTGTCGGCCGTTTGGGCCAAGTGGTTGACCCAGGAGATCGCGGCCTGTTTCCTGACGGGGCTGGGGGATCGACACGTGCAGCAGTTTGAGGAGGTAGAGCTGTAGGAGGATTTCCTCAGCTCGGCCCAGTTGAGGTCGTTGTTCCATTCGACGACGTTGAGGTTGTTGTTGCTGGTGTTCTGGCAGCCGCAGGAGTCGTCGGCGTAGAAATTGGAGCGATCGGGGCCTTTACCTTGGTATCGCTGGGCGTCTGTGTTCTTGACGAGCTCGTACGTGTCGGGCGGGGCGCAGCACATGTTCCCGCAACACGACGGGTCGCCCTTTTCGCAGTAAGGTTTGGGCGGCGGCATTTCGGCGACGTACTTGTACTCGACGGTGCACTCGGGCTTCTTGTTGACCAACTCCTGCTGGTAGGTGTCTTGGCACGTGCAGCTTCTGCCGGCGTTGCCGCAGCTGCATCCGGTTGCCCAATCAGAGGTGCCGCTGACCTTTACGTTCACCACCTCTGGCCTGTAAGCATCGTTCGGGCAACCGCAGCAGGCGTTATCTCGTTTCTTGTCGTTGAAGCCGGTCTCGTACGGCCTCCCGTCGTCGCAGCCGGAGCAGGTCGCGGTGCCGGCACCAGCTCCTCCGTTGTAGCTGCCCGTGCACCCGCAACCTTCGTTGGGGAGGGGCTCGGGGTTGACGTTGTGGTTGCAATTCCTGTCGTACTCTTTTTTGTCTTTCTGCCCGAAAACATCGCTGATTTGCCTCAAGGCAGCAAAGCTTTCGTCCCCACCGTCCAAAGCTTGAAGATACACATCCGTGACGCAGTCGGGCACATCAAAGTAACTCGAACAGTCGTTGCTGTTACACGATACGTTCAAGCAATCGACAAAGTAAGTCTGATCGTTCTTCGTCTCCATACCTATTTGTCCGGAGTGTTCTGCTCCCCCTCCACAGGCTGATCCAATGGCCAAGCGATTAGGGTTGCCGTATGGATCCATTGGAGAGTCCTCACAAGCGAAGTCGCAAACAATGTAAAAAAAAAAATGTATATAAATTTCAAATTCTAGTTCTTGCAGACAGGGATTGAAGATGATGTGCACTGTACGGAGATACACGGGGTGATTGTGACGTGAGTCGCTAAGGATGACGTCACGGTGCGATATGGCAGTCTCTAAGCCATAGTTGGGTGTGCTTCGGTGCGAGGGAATCGTATCCATGAAGGTGCGCATATGGCGAGGCGAGAAATTAAATGAAAAATAAATAGAGCGATTTAAAAAAAAAAAAAGAAGAAATCGTTCAATTGTAAAAAAATTCTTAAAATAGAATTAATTGAAAAATGTAATATTTATTTCGTCTTACATGCTACTTTTCACAAGAATAATAACAAACTGATGGACTAAAAGTTCCCCATAATTTATTTTTAAAAATGTAAAAAAAAAAAAAAAAATACACACAACAAAAAAACGTGACGTCATTTATTGTCAAGGCAATTAATTGACACGCAATTAAGCACCAGTGCAGATGGCGACCGGTGCGCACGGGGATTGACATACGTGTCAAAATGTATGGCATGCTTTTGTTACCAACGATTAGGAAATAGAAGATTGTGATATGATTTCACAATGGTTGCGTATTACCTGCGTCGCTGGACTAGATTCGACAAGCGATTCAACGCAAAATTGGCGCCACGGGTGTGGGTTTGGGGGGGGGGGGGGTTCTCAACCGAATTCGATGCAATCATAAACAGGGCCGTTCGGAAAAAATAAAATAAAAGATGCCGGGGACTAAGGGGGCAAACGAGCCGGTCGGCAACTTCTGAGGGCGCAAAAAAATCTTCAGTTTTCATTGAAAATATATACTCATTGGTGAGGAGGGTGCCTAAAAGTAAATCTTTGACCTGGATGCAGCTTTTGTGCGCCACGTCCCTGCATATCAGGTGGGCCGGTTCTCTGTCTCAGACACTAAAAGAAATAAACAATTAAACGAATGTCTATTCCCACTATACATTTCTTATAGTGGATACACATACAATATTTAGAATGCAGAGCAGGTTGTAGTGGGGGACAATGTTTAGAATGCAGAGCAGGTTGTAGTGGGGACAATGTTTAGAATGCAGAGCAGGTTGTCGTGGGGGAGAATGTTTAGAATGCAGAGCAGGTTGTAGTGGGGACAATGTTTAGAATGCAGAGCAGGTTGTCGTGGGACAATGTTTAGAATGCAGAGCAGGTTGTAGTGGGGACAACGTTTAGAATGCAGAGCAGGTTGTCGTGGAGACAATGTTTAGAATGCAGAGCAGGTTGTCGTGTTGACAATGTTTAGAATGCAGAGCTGGTTGTCGTGGGGGACAATGTTTAGAATGCAGAGCAGGTTGTCGTGGGGGACAATGTTTAGAATGCAGAGCAGGTTGTCGTGAGGGACAATGTTTAGAATGCAGAGCAGGTTGTCGTGGGGGCAATGATTAGAATGCAGAGGAGGTTGGAGGGGGGGGCAATGTTAAGAATGCAGAGCAGGGTGTCCGGGGGGGAAATGTGTAGAATGCAGAGCAGGAAATGTTTAGGACGCGGAGCAGGTGGTCGTGTGGACAATGTTTAGAATGCAGAGGTGGTTGTCGGGGGGGACAATGTTTAGAATGCAGAGCAGGTTGTCGTGGGGGACAATGTTTAGAATGCAGAGCAGGTTGTCGTGAGGGACAATGTTTAGAATGCAGAGCAGGTTGTCGTGGGGACAATGTTTAGAATGCAGAGCAGGTTGTAGTGGGGGACAATGTTAAGAATGCAGAGCAGGTTGTCATGGGGGAAAATGTTTAGAATGCAGAGCAGGTTGTAGTGGGGGACAATGTTTAGAATGCAGAGCAGGTTGTCGTTGGGTACAATGTTTAGAATGCAGAGCAGGTTGTCGTGGGGTACAATGTTTAGAATGCAGAGCAGGTTGTCGTTGGGGACACTAGTTAAAGGACGAGTGGGCGGTCCGTCAGGGTGGACACCCGTTCTTTCTCCTTTGGAGTCAGGGCTGTTATTTTCGGCACCATTACGGAGGTTCTTGTTTGTGTTTTTCATGGAACGGAAGGGTCGGCGAAAAATCTCGATCCCGCCCCTGGGGGGCACTTTACCTATCTACGCCGCTGTTACCCAGGTATCCGCACGGCCGTCAGGGAATACAAGTTCATGAACACCTGGCGGGCCGGATCTGTCCCCACAGGCCGTAGTTTAAGGACACCCCCCCTCCCCGGTTTAATTCAACACAGTAGATTCGGTGAATATAAACTTACAACCTTCCCCCACCCCCCCACCCCATCTCTCTTGAGCACACTGTTTACTGCACGCGTCCAAAATTTATCTCGCACTTTGAAATATGTTAATATTCCTACGCGCATTATCATTAATTAGCCTGCAACCTTAGCGATGCAGTGTTCGTACGCGGCAAGCCAGAGCAAATGGGCCCTATTGAAAACGGTCATTCGATATTTCTCCCCCCCCCCCCCCTTATTGTTGATCATTTAAGGGCGACATTGATTTTGATCGGAGCAAAAGGGGAGGGGAAAATTTTTTTT